CAATCCAATAGAGCATCTTTGGGATGTGGTGGAACGGGAGATTCGCATCATGGATGTGCAGCCGACAAATCTGCGGCAACTGTGTGATGTCATCATGTCAATACGGACCAGACTCTCTGACGAATGTTTCCTGTACCTTGTTGAATATATACCACCAAGGATTAAGGCCGTTCTGGAGGCAAAAGAGTGTCCAACCAGGTACTAGCAAGGTGTGCCTAATAAAGTGGCCAGTGAGTGTACATTCACACACTGATGATAGTAAGCTACACTGTGTCCACAGCTGCTCTGGGGCTCACTGACAGAGGTGGGGCTGCCATGCTGCGCCACCGGCCCCTCTGACCACCATCAGTAGGKAAGGTGGGTGAAGTGTCTTGCCCAAGGACACAACGACTGAAACGGCTGGACTGGGGATCGAGCCGGCGACCTTCCGGTTCCGGGACGACTCCCTTAACCACTCCYCCATGGCCGCCCTAAATGAACTCTGGTGAGGTTTGCTTCTGTTTAGAATACAGACTGGCCTCAAACCGAACCTACTACAGGAACCATGCACCTTTTAAGACTTCACAAGCCACCTTTGTTAAGTGTCAACGTAAAAATTAGCACTCAGTGTTGTTAACGCTACCACTGCACTACAAACAATGAGCCATTGTTGGTCAGGGAACATGGAGCATTTCGTCWCCTTTGGGTTGCGGCACAGWTTTGCRAACYTCATCCCAAAKTGATATTTATWTAATTGCAAAGCCACCTCTGAATGAGCTGCTCTGAAAATCTAAATGGTATTGCCATTGTATTAACTGCACAATCTTTCTTTCCTGGTCTGTGCTCTGTCCCACACACGTCATTGATTGTCACCCTAGTGGCTTTGTTTAGAAATTYCAGTTTGCAAAAAAGCACAATGTGAATGTAAACCACACCAAWCAAAAAAATAAATAAAGTTTGCTTTTGGTCCGGACCAAACAAGTGGACCAAAGGACTGTCCTGGTGTGAATACACCCTTACACATCAATTGAGAATGTAATCCTACCTGGTTGAATGTGAAGGATGAAAGCACCAGGGGTTATAAAAGAGTTTCCTGTCAGGTCTGGCAGGGCAGGTGCTGAGGGCAATGTGAAATGGACAGAAAGACTCCCTGAGACGAACACATCCAGAGCAGGACAACAGGAGCTTTTTAGCAGGATGWATTAGACTGACTTCCTCTCTGTCCTGCACACAGCTGGTAACCTGTCAAGGGAGACATTGAAAATAGATTACTTAGTGGGAGCCTAAAAAAGGGGACCAGCACCCATTTATAAACTGCAAGCTAGCTGCATATATTACATATATACACATCTAGAATTTAGGGGGATAATTGAATCTGAAGTCATTGCCATAAGCTCCTCTGCTSTGGTCATTTTCAGAAGCAATTTCCTCTGAAGGGAACGGCAGACAAAGTGTGAAAAGAAATAATTAACAGGAAGAGGTACAAAGCTAAAGAAAGGAAAGGTGAGAAAAGGTTCCACACAGAGTGACACAGTCATGTATGTTGCAGCGAAGGTGAATAATTGAAAGCTGAAGAATAGAGGACACAACGAATGAGACAAAAGAGAAACCCCAAAGGAGCTTTGATCGAATGAACTTTTTGACCTTTAAAAGAAAGCCTCCCGTACTTCTTATTTAGATCAAACTTTACTTGAAACAGAATCCGGCCGACAAAAAAAGGCAACACTTATTCAGAACGATTGGCTCCTCCTTTGTCCWTTATGTCAAACTGAGGACAGGCTTCTTCTGGCACAAATTTCAGTTAAAACCCATTAGGACAACATTTTGCAGTACTCTAAGTGGGCACTTATGCCTTCTGTGGGAATAGATATTACAAAATCAGACAGAATCAATAGGGGGTTATTGAGTGGGGGTGGGGAGGTGCAATGCAAGTTTAATGAGCAAATAATGCTTGATGTAATAACCTGTAACTGTTTCCCACCTAACTGATGCATATTAGTGACAGGGAAAAAGGTGGGTGAAAGCTTTATTCCTCTGACTTTTATATTCTGTACACACAAGTCTGTGACTAATGATAGGCAAAGAAAGCAGTGATTTGAGATGCACAAACAAACACYCATGGTGCATTTAGTGGCAGGCCGGCTAGCTGTCTCAGTGGGATGGGTTTCCTGCTTGGGGTGTAGGCCAAGCTGTTGTCAGATCACAGCCATCCCCAGAGAAAGAAGACATACCAGCCAGCACGTTTAAAGGCAAAGGGGCTGAGGGGAAAGATTAAAAAACAAACACAGTTGAACAGGACAAACCTTCTAAATAGAGCCCAAGCTTAAAATAACTAAAAACAAAAAATCTGGTCAAATCAACAACTTTTAAAACAGGGCCTACTGAATTAATTAATTTTGTGTCAGTCGTTAAGTTATTCAAAAAAAACTATTGCTTTTTATTTATTTTAACTCTAGATAAAAAGGGACTTTCAGCAATGTCTGACAAATTTTCTGTTTCCCCATTAGTTATAAACACTGTGGAGAGAAGCTGAGAATTTACATACTGAAAACCAGCTGAACATTTGACGCAGACAGGTTAAAACAAGAGGAAATCTGGATTTTGTTTTTGTGTAAAGCACTGGCTAGTCTTTGAGGCAGAATAGCCAAGACTATGTAAGAAATTTGGTGAAAACAATGCGAGTCAAATAAAGTTCATTATTGCTTTGTGTTTTTTTCCCCCCTAACATTTTGCATTTTTTAAACAAATTCACTTCAAGTTWAATTTTCTCCAGTGACACGTTCTCATTTGCAACAAACAACAACCCAGATGCCTCCAGCATGACAGAGATGACAAATGATGGAAGAAAAACTGKAGGTCAGAATGTTTTGTATATAAATGTGTCTCTAACTCCAAAGAAAACTGTTGGGAATGTGGTGCGACTTTTGATTGACACGGAGCAGCTGGCTTCACACAAACTCTTTTCAAGTTCAAGACAAACACATGGACACATAGTCACACTTTGATCACAGGAAAACACCTAAGGTACTGAGAGTACTCCAGCACAGAAGCGTATAAGAAAAACTAAATGTAAGCAACAAGGTAGAAGATAATAATTGTGTTTGAGCTCCGTTATGTAAGTACTGTGCAGGTCATCCAACATCAATACATCCGGCATGTTGTTCTTCACTGTAGATTACATTACCACAGATCTTCCAATTCAGATTAGTTAGTAGAACTGAAGCTTTATTAACTAATACAGGATTGTGGCTCGTGTTACTTTGTGTGTACAGGAAATACTAATGAGTTTAGCTCTGTAGAGGGAAATATTACTGCTGGAGACAGCTGCACTAATTCAGCTGGTAAGTTTAGCTACTGACAGCTCTAACACACAACAGTTTGATTATGCTGTGATTTTTTTGCTCAACTGATAAATCCACCTTTCCCATGGAGGGACAGTTTTGTTTCGACTGAGAATAACATGGGATTTAAACTAATTCTTTCAGATGGAACAGCGTTCATGAAAACTAAAATCACTTCGCATAAAATGTTGTCATCACTGTGTATATGCCATTTACGTCCCATTAACCCCCCCAGTGGGTAATTTCTCTGCCTGGCAACAGCCATTCTGGGACAGGATTAGCAAAGAGCACAGCGCCGCACGGCACACGCTACTGAACTTTGAGCTGGAATGCACAGCCACAAAAGGTGCACATATTGCACATGCAGACACAAAAACACYTTGTGACTCATGCCTGTGCCATTATGCGTATAACAGTAAAAACATTCTGTATTTATGAGCACAGGAAACTGGAGAGGCAGAAGCGGTCTCTGTAAAATCCAACCACTTATKCTGAACAGTTAAGTTTCTGAACAGTATCACACTCATGTTCACATACCGACATCCTCCTGCTGCTTTTAATCAAGCTCATAATCATACACACTCTGAAATTACGCTGATAGCTTATTATTTTTCTATTGCAGTATRAATGCACCATAGCACCACAAACTCGCACAAAGCCACAAAGTTGTATCTGGTAATGGAACACATGCACTCACACAGGAATAGACAAATCACTTTAACACTGATCTGCCCCCCAGGCGTACTCTCCCACGATGCTGATGCTCGAGGAATAACATGCATTGCTTCGCCTGAAACCTACTTTTAGACSCGTCCTGGAGGGTCGACGTTGGCTGGGAATATTTTGTCACTTGGGGCAYAGGTTACAGGAGATACTCAATGTTTGGTCCCTCCATTTAACAGAAATGTCTAACTTGTCTCAGAGTTTTTCTTTTAAATATGTTAAACTTCTTAATGCACTTGATGAAAGAAGTGTTTAATAAAACAAAACATTTCAACGATATTTGTATAGGTTTGGAAAACCAGCACTCATTAGTGGAGTRGTCTAATTTTACGTTCACAGTAAATTTGAGAAATGGTTTTTAAAGCTGGTGTTAGGACTCCACTGCAGGWCTTAAAGGGGCAATATCATGTAAAATCAACTTTTTTGAGTTTTATATCCTGTTATAATGTTATATTCTCATTAAAAAAACATGCCCAAAGCCTTACTTTGACTCATTCATGCATATTTGAGAAATCCTGCAGCATTTTTAGGCAGCCATGCTGAGGAGCAAAACGACAGGTGGGGACCAGAAACGCCTTTTGGGACCAGAAACGTCTCTGGGACGTGTCTTTAAGCCAAGCTTCCTCACAGCAGAGGGCCCGCCTCCCCCCTCCCCACACCCCCCACCCATGACTCCTGCAGGCTCTCAGGTGAAAGTGAAAGTGAAACCTAACTGTCTGCTGAGCTCTCAACATTAGTTCTCACTCAGTGAAGCTATTTTCAGATTAAAATACCTCTGAGGAAATGTATTTTCAGATGCCAAGTAAACTGCATCATGGCCGACAACTCCCCACCCCCCCACCCCCAATGCGACAGGAGCGGAAGGAGGTTCTTAAAGAGACAGAGGCCAATTTCAAGGGATTTAGAAGAGGAAGTGATGGGAAGATAAGCTTATTTTCTATTTAAACATAAAAACCTCATTTTAATAACCGCTAAAGGTGACATAGATACTTTATTATGGAATAGTATTTAAATGTATATATGAGAAACACATAACATTGCCCCTTTAAAATAAAATCCTAAAAACTCAACCTAAAAACAACTCAGCTTTTTAGGACTTCAGCAACATTAAGTCAGAAAAATTTGCTTAATCTCTCTTGCACTTTATTCTCGACGCATTGTCATTTGCTGTAAGACTTTCCTCAAGTCCTACAAAAACATTTAGAGAAATTGTTTTCTTTCCAGTAGCCAAAACAGAGCTGAAAAATCTGTGCAAAAATATCAAGGACAAATGTACAATCTGTCAGCTCAAACAAGAGCACGTTTAAATCAACTGGACTGAGTGTATTTTATAAACACTGTGAAGAGTCAGGTATGTTCAGCTGCTCTGGTATCCCCCCCTGCCCCCCACTTAGATACTTGTAACTCCACCCATCATTAAGAGTGTCAAATGAATTAAAAGACATAAAGCAGGTACACACAAACATGCCAAGCAGACATCCTCACTTAGGTTAAAGCTGGAGCTGGAGCTTCTTTCCACTCTACAATCACTACTTCAGACTTCAATTTATGCACACAGAACACCAGTTTCCCCCTTGGAGAAACACTTCATCCTGCTTTGCATCACCAAGAAGCCAACAGCCTACTCTCACATATTTTCTTCTTGCGATGACTGCCTCTACAACATAATTTGTTTTCTCCCGCAGACTTGGCTGACTCACTGCTGTCAAAACTCGGCTCTTTTGTCCGTGGCCAAGTTGCGCTCGTTTACGGTAATATGTGTTGTATGCACAACTTTTGGCAAGTTAGGGCAAATTTCACATGATTCCTCGCCACAAGAAGTGCAGGAATATTTCGATGTCTACATTTGGTTGCTGTCTTGCTGAAGAAGACAGGCTTTTTATATTTCAATTTAAATTCTAGATCATTACATATTTATACAGTTTCTCAATGCAACTTACAGTGACAGCACGCTAAAGTGAACAAATTTAATCTGATCACTTTTAATACTCATCAGAATCTGCTCAATGTTTCAGACACTGAAACATAAACAAAACACTGGAGATAAACACTGTGTGTTTTGACCAGGCTGCCAGGAATCAGCTGAACTCAAAGGTTTAGACACATGAACACAAACCTAAAGCTAAAATCTGTATTTATCCCCAAATGTAACATAAGACTATTTCTGAGACAAAGCCA